AAATAGGCTGGAAACAGCACATTAGTCGCCGCGGTCGTGATGCGCCGCAGCCGCGTCTGCGACCTTTTGACGCCTAATCAACTTCCCGATGACAACTGTACGCAACACCTACATGCGGCACAAAGCCGTAAAGAATACTTCGCAGTGACCCACAGAACGCTTCGTAGGTAACGACGAGTTGAAAAAAATATGTGTGATCTATTGAGTTATATATGAAAAAAAGAGGAGGGAGCCGTCGAGAACAACCTTGACCTGAGAAAATTTTTCGAGATGGGCGAGAGATGAGAGGAGAGCAGTGAAGGAGCATAGGATTGAGCGAGACAACAGACATGAAAGCGTGACTAAGTCATTCGCCCTCTAGTAGAATGAAATGAGCAACCCTAGCTTCAACTCCCCTACCTTACAGCGTTCTGACCAAACTGAAACAAGTGAATGCAAATCATTCATGACGATCCACAGTACCACCCCACGCCCACCCACATTCACATCCCAACGCACACACACACACACACCGAACAGCTTTGATTCTTATACGTAATCGCAAGAGGTGCCTTCAGCTTTACCGGTCATCACAATGTAGACATCTATTTTGTGACGTTTACAGGTCGATGTGCGGCAGGGTTTAATAGTACCACCTGTTATAACGGAGGAGTTCCGAATCCCAGACAATGCGATGTGTGCCTTTGTCCATACGGTTACGGTGGCAAGTTTTGTGATCAACGGGTAAGATGACAGCTGAGTAAGTTTCCGAGTTATGTCTCGATGTGGTCTCCAAGACAAGATGCCAGTTTAACTAGAGACTGGACCTGACCTATTTTGATCATTTTTATCTCCTCACACGACAGGGGAAAAACATTCAGCCGGCCGGTTGTGGTGAACGACTCAAAGCGTCTGCTCATTGGAAAACCAAGAAATTCACTTTCATGAATACCTCTGTGGCTAACGACCAAGCGCACATGATGTGCAATCATTGGATTGAGGTTTGTTCTCGCTCACATTGGCAGCGTTACTTTTTCATCTACTCTCTTTACCTGGAGGAACTTGTGGCAAGTGAAGGCCGCGCCGGCGCGACTGCGCCATGTCATGGTTCTATGCCCACGGTCCTCACTCCCATCTCACCAAATGGATGGCTTACCGACTACATATTAGGTTGTCCCAAAGTTCGTGGAACTTTCGAACATTTTTTCGAGTTAAGTTTATTCCAGTGGGAAGCAATTTTGATCAACTATATATATGTCACCTTCATTGGCAACTTGTTGCCAATCACTACGCGATGTGCGTTGCCCTGCCTCTCAGAAAGTCTTGGTTCTTGCCGAAAGCAGCTCGGGTCATTTAGTTACTATTAAAATCTTTTTACCCAAAGATGGCCGCTGTGGGATTAGTTTAGATGGCGATCGGAAAGAGCTAAGTCAGGGCTACACGAAGACTGTGGTGGAATTCCCCAGCTAAGCTTCGGGATCTCGAGCAGTGTCGTTTTCCAAATGTGTTAACCCCGAGGTCTGTGGAGTAGGCAGAACCTTGCTCGTTTTGGACGAATAATAGCGATTTTCAACCTTTCGCAGTTAATTACAATAAGGGTTCTGTAGCGTTACACGCGCTGAGAAGAGAGAACATCATCGTAGACAAGGAGAGAAAGAACCCCACACGTACCACAGCCTCCCACCCTACTGGGGATTGACTAGGATTGCGGAAATCGCGCCGCTGGCGCTCCCGCCGGAGTGATTCACCTACAGCACCCACCCATAATCCCAGTTCATCCTGTCAACCAGTCCGCTACGGCGGAAAACACAAATAGTTAAGACCAGAACGGAGAAACCTTAAATCGAGTGATCGCATGTGCCTCCTCCTGGCTAGACGTCCTAACCAATAGTCGAGAAAAGTTTTGACGCGTAATTCAGAAACCTTGTAAGGACCGCTCGACCTCTCTCTTTCATTTCGCTGTCTCTTCAGACCTAGTCAGGAGTGTAATGGACTTATCTGAAGCACTGTTGCATTTAGTTGTGGTGAATTGGTTTCAATCAAAGACAACACAGTAGCGAGTTTCGATCCCAACGCAAGTAAAGGTAAAGTAAGCAATAAAACACCTTTGACTACAGTGTTCACCCGATAGAACATGTCACACCATCAAGCGAAGGCAATTTGAGCTCCATTGAAATAAGGCCGAACCGCTTGGCAAAACGGTCACATCCAGAGAACTAACATAAGGGACAATCACCCGCTCCTGGCCACCACAACACACCACCGCTTTCGCACTGACTATACCCTTCGACAGTAGAAATACAAATAGCAAGTTGATAGAACAAATGAATGAATTTCACATTACCGTTTCTATCCAGGAGAACAGCTACTGCGAGGGACGGTGAAGAAGCTGTGGGAATGCTTACCTCACACACTTCCCATAGACCACATAACTGGATCTCGAAATGGCTGCGGAAAAATCTGATACGAGATTCAAAAAGTGTCCCAGAACTTTTGGGACAACCTAATACATACATACATACCGCTTCTCAATTGGCGAAATGCCGCAGCCAAATAAGGCAGAATGGGCAGGAGATGGCGTGGTCGCGCAGCCGTTGTCTGTCCTCTAGCACACTGTGTTCGCAGAAGGAGTCAATTTCATGCGCCTTCAAAGCTAGCAGCTTTACATATTCCCCCTCAGGCGCCGCTAGGTAAATGGATAGAAGTTCGAGTGATAGGAGTACCATCCAATCTTTGCTACTATGGTTGCTGCTACGGTGCCATTGAACCCAAGGTTCAGATGGATAAAATGGTCACAAACCCGAGGTATACTATTGAAATAGAGCTTCATCCGCTTCTATCTCTAAAAAAATTGTAGTTTCAGATATTGTTGCGAGGAGCAGCTCAACAAAACTCTTGTAAGCAAGCTCAATCCGACACCAGTCTTTTCATACAGCGTTTTTCGCAAATCAGTATTCACATTCCAGTACAGATATAAATGACCTCTACATTATACTATCAATCAGCAGAAAGGAAAATAAAAATCGTGGATTAAATTCTCCTAGTGGATGAGTCCATCGTTGATGTGGGTAGTCTTTCTGTAAAATAATGTACTAGCACTTGTTCCATTGTGAACTAGTGATTAGGTATGTGCAATTTATAATTTATAATTTCATTTAACATCTGTGATAGGAAGGTGCAAAAAGACCCTGCTAGATTTTGAATCGAGTTGTAGGATTGTTCGTCTTTGGTTTCAGAGAAGTTCGTGTTCAAGACACCTTGGGTTGAAAAATGCATGAGGAGCAAAAAAAAGGTTGCCTTTGTGAGCTAAAAGCGAACAACTGTGCTGTCCGGGTATGGGACAAGAAAATCATTATTCACCGCTACGACAAATACGACTTACTGTGGGCATTTCTAACGTCCCACAGTAAGTCGTAGTCGGCTGGTCGGCGCCGCGCGCGACGTCGCGTTCAAAAATTACGATGTTTATAGGTCATAGATGACAAAAATAGACACTGTGTAATCAGTAGTAATGTCTACTTGTAACAAGTACTCCAACCTGTAGGTAGTGTAAACTAGGAAAATACCGCGTATATCGCCGCGCGCTACGTTGCTGCAAACCACGGTTGTCCTGATCGTCTCCTTGTGCTGTGGGAGGACGACTTGACCAGTAGAAATTCCATGCCAACGTCGGTCATTTTATTCCGATGCAGTGAGAACCTGCAAAAAAATACTAACTTTTCTGATATAAAATTCCGTAGAGGAACAGCCCAAGAAATTGTGCATGGATTACAGCAATGGATTACATGATGACCACAAGAATGTTGACTTCCACGAGAACCCAACTACGACTTACTGTGGGCATTTCTAACGTTGTTCTTTTTTGCCGTGATATTCATTTCATCTGGTGTTATTACATGAACTGAAAGCTATTCTAGAGATGACGTGATCAAAAGAGTGAATCAGTTCAATAAAGGACGGAAAACCATGAAAATGAAGGTTCGACAAAGAAAAATAAAAAATTCAGATGAAAACAACTATGATATGAAGCCTTCAGTTTTTGGCAGATTTCGTGAGTCACGTTCATAATGAAACTTTTCAGAACCTTGTAAGCCAATATTTTTCGGAGAACCAACCCGAAATGAAGTATAAAAGGTGCTGCAGCTCAATCTTCCACTTCGTTTTCGATCATGGCTACCACATTTTGTCGCAAACAATGCATTTCTCCAGTGTTGTAGGAACGTAGCCCTTTATATACAGAAAAGTGCTTCTGTGATACGATTGCTTTGTAACAGAATCATTTCCATAAGGGTGAAGTGCATAGAGTTGATCAACTGTTTCCTAGTAGTTGCCGTGTATTTAACATGCAGTAGGTTCGTAGTGTGGTAGTATGCTTCACTGTCTGCAGATATTTAGCCTACATGAACACTTCGTCAGTGCTGTGGGCAATGTTTTTTGTTCAGTAAAATAATCTCATAGGGTAGAGCGAGCCTATAGAGAAACTAGCTGGCAGGGCTACCGCATTAATTACAAGGTAGAACCGAGGATCCCTGGCCCCAGTATAATCTTCAACATCTGTGGAGAGAATCTGTGAACAGAACCAAGGGTCCTCCCACTCTCATGGTAGTTACCCCACCGGATTTTCCAACACGGCTCCAATATTCTATGGCTGAGGGAGGGGTGAGTTCGTATTTGCTGTAAAGAGAAATTTTCTCAGTAGTTGATTTTTCTTGGTTCAGAGACGCTATAAATCGGAGAGATAGGGGAGGGGGGTGTCGCATTGGCTCGTTGTTAGGAGAGGGGGGTGGTGGGCCGGACGGACTCGAACGAAATTTCCAACCGACAATGTACATACCCTGCTGTAATCGGCCGAACTAAAATCGTCTATCTGGGGTGCTGAACAGTCTGCATGAATATCTAGAATTTTTCTTACTGTACTATCGGCCGCTTACTCCAAATATGAAGAATTTACTGAATACTTGTACTATGAAAAACAACAAGTACTTGTATCGTCTGCAGCGTGAAAATATATTACCACGTTTCTTGGACTACAAGGCGCACTCACGTATGGGGCGCACATTCGCTTCAAGAGTGCGAATGCTTTTTCTTCACATTTGTGTGTTTTTTGTTTGCTTAATATTTTCATTCGATAGGAGGTATTTATTTGAAGGCCACTTGAAAAATAAAATATGCAAAAACAAGAGGAAAACTGTAGCTGGGTCTTCCGACTTTAAGCGCGCTATGGCGCACGACTCTGCGAAATGCGCCTTACACCATAGAAAATAGGGTGATTAACGGGTGAGCGTTGAAGGCAGTTGGCAAAAAATCTAAGACGAGTGGGATTAATAGTCCTAGCAGGTAGAAATCCCTCGTCCTGAAAAGGAGTTGCGTAGCGCCTTCTCAGGAAGCTTCCTCCATAGGCCTCATAAAGCTACAACATACCGACCCGGACGCCCACCGCGCCCGCCCGCCCACAAATGGACGACCGTACCTGATGCTCGTATTGCTTCATTTGCGGAGTAAAATATGAAGCGAAGGGACTGATGTGGGGCTGATGAAGTGCTGCATGGATATGTACGCAGCTGCTCCGACCGTAGCGTAACTGGCACCATGCCCACGAGAAACTCGTCCAAAATTGCTTTCTGAGTCGTGCAAAACGGAGGCTTTCCTTTGCAGGTTTTTGACCGTTTCACTTCGTTTTTTCGCCATTTCCCCACTATATAGCACCCTGCTAGCATTTTAGACCGAGTACCAAATTATCGTGCTAGATGCCTTTAATCTTTCAGAACTATAGTGGTATTTCAGGATGACTCAGAGAAGCGCCAGCGTTGGTGCTGTTAGCACTCTACTCATTCTATTATTTCTTGATGGAGGACAGAGTGTTCAAAGGTGAAAAGAAGTTACTGCTGGTTGGCATAAAAAGTATCGACAGTAATGCGATCCCCATATATAATCATGTTTGACTACTGCGGTCAGGGTGCAACCTCTCTTGGTGGAAGCCATTAGGGTAGGACCGTACACATTTGCTCGCTAGGGTAAAGGTGTTGGAAGAAATTCTCAAATAGTTGTTTTTCTAGCCATCCTGACTTGTTCCCTCTACCGCTAGACAGCAAAAATTTCGGCGAAATCGATGAGTGGGTAAGAGGTTAGACAGGTATTCAAAGGGGTCACTGTTGTTGGGAAGAAGTAAGACTGCTACTTCATTCTACCCTACAGTGTTTTCTGAGAGATACTGTATTGCATACACCA